TCAAGACTACTAAAAAGAGACACAGGAGATTGGGAGAGGGACAGTGACTCCAAAGACCCCCCTCCCAGGTGCTCGGGACTTGGCATCCGCTCTCCAGCTCCCACTCCAGGCACAGCTCACCTGGCAGAAGGTCGGTGTGTGGACAGCTGACAGAGCCCGGCGCAGGGCCTCCACGTCACTGAAGCCAGCGGGCAGGCGGTCAACACAGAGGCAACGGGAGTGGAGCAGGGCTGGTGTCAGTTGCCCTGCATCTGTCCAGTGCACATACAGGGTGCGCGTGCCCAGGGGCTTGCCCAGAAGGTCCGACTTGGCACGGGCAGCTGAGTCCTTTTTCATGTACTCGGCGAAGCCATAGCCCTTGGAATGGCCAGTACGCTCGCTATAGACCAGGAAGCAGCGCTCCAGGCTGCCAAAGGGCCGTACCAGCTCCTCAAACTGCTGCTGTGTGAGGCTGGGGGGCAGGTTGGCCACGCAGAGCAAGGCGTCGGTGGGCTGCAGCTGCACTGATAGCTCTCGCTCCCGCAGGCAGCTCTGGTGGAAGGTTTTGATGGCGGCCTCAGCCTGCTCCCCATTCAGCAGGGTCACGAAGGCTGTAGCAGGAGGAGGAGTGGGTCAGTGGGGTCCCTGAGAGTCTGCTCTCGACCCCATGACCGCCCACCGTTACCTCTCTCTACATTACACGTAATGTCACATTATTGACCTACCAGGACACCTCATGCCCCAGCAGATTGGATAGTTGCCAGCCTTGAGAAACTCACACAAGTACCACCCACCTCCAGGAGACCTGCTCCCTGCCCTCACCCCCACTCCTGCTCTCAACCTACTCATGAGCTCACCTGCCCTCTTATCTACTTACTGTGTGCCTGGCTAAGTGATACATAGGAAATAAGTGTGTGACTTGGATGACATACAGGGTAGTGGTTAAGCATGTGGTCACTGGAGCCTGCATTTCAACTCCAGCCCAAGTGGCTGTGAGGGGCCTCAGTTTCCCCATCTGTTGAATGGACATAACACACTCCTCATAACCACCATTGTGCTAGCAGGGAAGTGGGTCTAAAGCTGTGCCCTCCTGCCCAAGGGGAGGAACCTGGACTTGAACCCAGGCAGACACCTCCACAGCCCCACTCTGCACCCACCCTTTCCTTACCACCTTTCTAGGCCACCAACACTTCTCATGTTTGAATCCCTGCTTCAGCCTCAGTCCCCCTGCCACTCCTGACTTGCTGTTTACTCAACAGCTATAGCTTTTCAAAAATGATAATCAGAACGTGCCAAGGCCTTATCCAGAGGCTTCTCACTGCAGGCCCCAAGGGAGCCTGTGTAGCCTGATCCCATGGCTTTGCTGACCTCCTTTCCCATCTCTTGCCACTACATGCTGGACCATGCCTGGCACATGCCCCCACAGGCCTTTGCACCTGCTTTTCCCTGAGCATGAAACACTGACCCCCCTCCCTTTTTTCACCTGGTTAATCCTGATATACCCTTCAGATTGACTGCACACATCACTTCCTCAAGGCCTACCCTGATTATTCCTGTTTCAGATCCCAGCTCTGGGCTCCCACAGCACCCTGCAGCTTCTGGTGCCACAACCACATCACCTTCATGCCTGCAGTTGTGTGAGTGACATCCCTCCCCTCCAAGACTAAACCATCTCCATTTGGTTCACAGCTGTGTTCTCCAGTCCCAGCACACACTGGTGCTCAATAAACATTCACTGAAAGACATTATTAACAAAAGAGTCACTTAACCTTTGGATCCTCAATGTCTGGCACATACACTTATGAGGTGCTCAATAATCCTGACTTACTGCCCCTGCCAACTAGTTTACTAAGTATCTACCAAGTGCCAGACACCCACACCCTTTTTAGGTATTTTAATGGCTTTGGCCTTGTGGCCAAACCAAGCAGGTCATACCCAATTTGCTGGTGAGAGAACTGAGGCTCAGAAAGGGTGACTCACTTGCCTATGGCCACACAGTGAGGACAGATTAGGACTCAAACCCAGGTGCTTTTACCTCCAAAGCCCATGATCTTAACCACTACCTTGGTCCACCAGGTAGGTCTCCAGGGTCATCTGTTCTCACTCACCTGCTTCTCACCCAAATTACAGATTGCACATACAATATGTAGAGGACACAGACACCCACCAAGGGTCTCCCACACAAGTTGGGGGGGGGGAGGTGCAAGCTGATAAGACCTGTGTCTGTTCTCACGGAGATGACCACTCAGTGCAGGAGGCAGGTGAGTGAGCCAGCAGTGACAGCCCAGGGCATCACTGTTACGATGGGGAAAGAGTGCTCAGGGCACTTAGAGGAGCTGCCTGCCTCCACCTGGACAGAAGAGGGAACAGCTAACAACAGTGGCAGATGGAATGCCTGGAAGCTTGAAACTAAGGAGATGGCAAGGCTGGGGCACACCCTTGCAAGACAGTGTCCAGAGGAGCCTCAAACAGGTTTTGAGGAGAGAGAATAACAATCAGGTTAGGATTAGGTTCAACGAGATTTGCAATCAGACTGATCAAATTTGATGGACCCTGGCTCCCTGGGAGGGCAAGCAGGAGTGTGAAATCATGCAGGCAGAAAGGCCAGAGGGAGGCCGCCATTTTGGCAGAGGCGGAGGGCCACCAATTGTTCTGGAGAGCTTGAAGAAGGCCAGACAGGCCTGGGTGACTGGCTGGCTGTGGGGTAGAGGGGATGGCACGGGAAGCAGGGGAGCCCAGTGCTCAGGTATCTGGCTGAGTGGCTTAGAGAAGGAACATATCAAGCCTATTCCATGATGGACATCCAGGAAAGACTGGGACAACAGTCTGTCTTGTGCTGGCCTAGGGGATGATGTTGGGCCCAAAATTCAGGAAATGAGACACTGGGCCAGAAAGCTCCTAGCTTTAGGGGCTGTCACTCCTTGTCACTAGCCCACCCCACAGCCCCACAAACCTGTCCCTTTGTATTTGTCCACAAAACAGTACTTGAGCTCATAGTCGCTGAGCAGGTCGTGCACTTCCTGCGGAGACAGAAGCCAAAGGACAGGGAGTCACCAAGGGATGAAGGAAGCAATCCAGTGCCACCTTCACATGGAACAGCTATGAAGGCAGATCAATTTTATTCCCCATTTTACAAAGGAGGAAACTGAGGCTCAGAGCGGTTACTTCCCCAAAGGCATTGAGGCCAGACCTGGCAGAGCTGTGATTCAGAGTCTAACTGCAGACCCCATGCTCCTAACCAACACGACATGCTCTTAGAGAGCCAGGTGGGTCTGAGTTCAGGTCTAAGCACTGCCGTATACACTTAGAGAAGCTGTCCAATCTGTCTGACCCTCACCTGGCAAGACTGTTTTCAACAACGTTATAAGTTAGGTAATAACAAATCCATTTTGCAAATGAGGAAACTGAGGTTCAGGGAGGTGAAGGTCATGGGGTTGGTCAAAGTGGCAACAGGAATGCCAACCAGGGGTACCTGACTGGGGACCCTGTGTACTTGAAGCCTACATTGTGTGGCTTTCCAATTCCCTCCTACTGACATAGCCTCCTTCTTTCAAACCAGCTGCGGGGGTGAGGCTCTGGAGCCTGCTTGTGCCAGATACACTGTGCACCCTGCAGGAGACACAATGTGTTCTCAACTGAGAGATGGCAGGTGTTAGGAGCAGGGCCTGCTCTGAAAACAAACCAGATCATGCTTAGTGGTGCAAGCCCCAGGTCTGTCCCCAAGTCATGCCCTCCTAACACCCTGGGGGCCCTAACAGCCATGTGGTCACCTACAGGCAGTGTGCGCCTGTGGCCAATGTGTTGGTGGGCCAGAGAGCAGAAATTCTCAGCAACAGGAAGAAAGAACCCATTCTACCATTACAGGGCAGGGCATACCAGATGCAATCTCCTTGGGTCCAAAGAGCACTGGAAAGCCCTGCACATAGGCCCCAAGAGAAGAGCACCCCTGGCCAGATCAGCCAAGGTGGGGCGTGGGGCCCCACAGAACACTGGTCCCTCCTCTTTCAGGTCTGTGGGCAGAATACCTCTTTTTCCAAATTCATCTTGGGACTTTTGGGGAAGAAAGACCCCAGGAGCTGCTACAACTTCTGATCTATCCCTAAGAGAAATTAATAAACCGTGCTAAGGATATTCTAGCCAACCCTGAAACTGGTGGCTATAGGGTCCTGCCATCCCATGGTAGAGGGGAATGAAAACAATCAGGGCTGGGAGCAGTCTAGCTGTCCATTCACAATCCCCCAATTTGGCTAAAGCTGTCCTCCCACTTCAATCATTTTGTCTCTTCCAAGCCTGTGGTCGCCTCGCCCCCACCCCGCAACGTCCTGCCTCAGTCCAAAGTTGGTTTCTCCCTCCATCACCGCCCCCCCCAACCCTCTCTTGGTCTCTTCCAACCTCTCCTGGATCTTGCGCTAAGACTCTCCCGCCAGGGCCCCCACCCCCCGGCACGCCAGCGTTGGTGTTGCCTAGTTCTCCGCCCCCCCCCGCGCGCACGCGCACGGTGGTATTTCCCGCCACGCTCTCACACTGCCCCCCCATACCTGGTTGGTCACGTCCCCCGGGAGGCCCCGGATGAGTATCTTGCGGCGGTTACGGAACTGGCGCTCAGTGTGTTCCAGGCGTTTCCTGATCTCCTCTGGATCTAGCGGTGGTAGTTCTTCTTCGGGCGCCCGGCGCCCCGCCGCATCATCAGCTTCAACCTCGGCCCCAGGCTCCGGGCTCAGTGGGGGCCGGTGAGTAACGGACACGTCGGCCGCCATCTTGGGGAACCCGGCGCCTTCTGGGACCAGCGAGCTGGGGCGGAGCGGCATAGAGCGGCAACGAGGGCGCATCTACCTATTGGCTGGAAGAATTCCCGCCTCCTTCTCGAAGACCTCAGCCCATTCGCTAAAGCCCAGCCTCCCGGAGTTCAAGCCCCCTCTCGGCGCCACAGCCTCCGCCCCTTTCCGTTGCCCAGGTGTCACTCAATGGACGCGCTGCGCAGTGAGAGAGTCCCTCAGTGCAGCTGGAATCAGGCTACAGACTCCGGATTTTGAGGGCTTTATTGTTGCGGAACCCTGGGATACAGACAAATTCCTGTCGTTGTAGACCCATTACCCGGTGGTGCGAGGCTCAGGTTGGCTGCTCTCCCAGCGCCTCGTCAGGCTGTTTAGATTTGAGTGGCAAAAAGTTGTTCCCCCGATTCACACGGTAGATGTCACTACGCCCCCTGAAGACGTATACTAAGGCTGTGGTGACAATCAGAAAGCCCAGGATCACGAACACCGCCATGATGATGGTGATGGTGAGGGGGTTCCGGTACCGAGCTGTGCAGAGAAGCGAGGAGTTAAATACACCCTGCCCAGCCTATGCTTTCCCCTCTAGACCCACAAATCCCCCTCAGCTTACCCTGAACATTTATCACCACGGTGATATTGTACGTGCCCTGTGAGTTGGCCGCCCAGCAGTAGTAGGTGCCATTATGTTTTAAGGTAATGCGGAATGGGACCCCGACGGGAACCGGAACCTTGGAGACTTTGTGCAAACACTGTAGCTGGGGAACCGGGTTGCCAGAAGCCTGGCACTGCAGGACTTGGGTCGTTCTATCTTTCCACGTCAAGTTCTGAGGACATTTGGCTGGGTCAATCTTAGGACCATCTGTAGGACCACCACATGATCAGACACACCAGAGGTACCATGGGACAAGAGAAAATCAAGAGAAAAAGTATTTCTGGGAGAGCAAGGGATTAAAGGTCAGAGTGATTACTTACACAGGACACGCAGCTGGACACTCCTGTTCCTGTGCAAGACCATCCCATCCACCTCCAGGGTGGCATTGCAAAAGATGCTGCGTTTGTCGTCCTTCTGGGTGACATTTAGCTGAAGCAGGGCGAGCTGCCCCGGGGTCACAGCTGGAGCTCCGTCCAGCATGACCTGGACTCGGGCTCCAGCAGCGCAAGTCACATTCACTGTGGTCCCCTCAAGGACCGTGGGCTCGCTCAGGTTCCTGATGGTCTCACTCAGGTTCATGATGGGCCCCCAGAAGCCTAAAGGAGTGACACTGCATGGGGGTGTGCTAAGCACTTCCTCACATTGGGCCAGCCCAGCCCTCCACCTGCATCTTTTCCCTCGGGTTATCTAGGCCTTGCCTTTTAGCTACCGTGGGCCCCCGCCCCCCAACTTGGGACACTCAGGCCAAACTCTAATGAAGGTGAAGGCTTACGCCCTGCCTGTGCTGCATCTCCTCCCACTTTGAGGGCTCAGGCCCCGCCTTTTCAGTTTGGAGTCAAGTCCCTTGTCCTTTGTGCTAATGATGCCCCAGCCCCTCTCCTTTCTAGCAGTTTTTGCCCCGCCCCCTCTTACTGTAGATGGTCAGGTTCTCCTGAGTCTCCTGGCTTTTGCCCCCCAGGGTCACATTGCAGACAATCTTCCGTGTGCCTTCCAGCTCAGTGTTTGCTGTGACTGTGGCTGTGGCCTTGAGTGTGTCACCTTGGCTTGAGACTTCGGGATTCAGCATCTGGTCCCCCAGTGCCAGTTGGACCTGGGCCTCTGAGGCCGGAAACAGCCCATCCAGGGTGCAGTCCACAAGCCAGGATGTTCCTACCTCCAAGAACCGGGGAACAATGAGACGAGGAGGCATCACAGGCAGGACTGGGGAGAAAAGTGAAAGTGAGCCGGTGGAGGTTTCATACAACCATGGACTCCCCTTTCCCTGTGACACACATACCCTCCAACCAGGGTCCTTCTTTCCCAGGACACCTTGCAACCTGGATTACCCCTTCCTTGGACACATCTATCTGCACATGCTTCACTAAAGTTCCCACAGGTGCTCACCCAATGGCCAAGGGCAGGCCTTCCTAGAAGCTCTACCCATTCTCAGGAGCCTCATGGCCATGCCATCCCTGCTTTGGCTCAGCTCATCACCCACAATCTGTGGTCCCTTTTCTTACCAAAGGTTCGGACATGGCCTGGGGCTGAGTTGTTCTGAAACAGTCCCAGCCCTTGGGGCCTCAGGTCCAGTTCTGTGCGGCAAGAGAAATTGGCACCGTGATCATTTCTGCTGACTAGCACTGTGGCTGTGACTTCTGCAGGCTCGCCAACTGCCAGCTGCCGACTCAGCACCTCTTCCCCACGGAGCAGCAACACAGAGAGGTGAGTTCTGGGTGCTCCACCTGTCACCAAGCAGCGCAAGGTGAGGTTTTTGCCCACAGGCTTCCACGGGGACATGGATGCCAGCTCCACATGCTTCGGAAACCCTGGTGGGATGGGAGGAGGGAAGGACAGAACTTATCAGTCAGCCCTGCAACCCCCTACCCCAGGGAGCAGAACTGTGAACCTGGAGCTGATAAACCTAGAGGGATTAGAAATACACCAGTGGAAGTGGCTTGTCATTAGCATCCTGATTATTATTTCCTGTTTTGTCAGAGACCTTGCCAGGCACTGAAATAAAAATCAGATTTGCTATTCCCAAGGACCTCACGGTTAAAAATTTAAAAAAGGAAGGAAGGAAGGGTGCTAATGTTTATGACCACTTATGATGTTAATGGTAATTATAAAAGTTCCTGTTTGGAGCTTTCCTTAGACTTTCCAGATGTCATCCAGGTATTCACCTTCATTCACATAGCAACTAAGTACAATTTTCTCTATCATTCCTTTTACGGACAGAGAAACCTAGGCCAGAGAGGTGATCTACCCAGAGATGCGTAGCCAGAAAGGGGCAGAACCTGGTTAGAATGTGGATTTCCCAAATTGCCTCTTTGATGTCACATCTTTGGGCTCCCTGGGCCCTCCTCCCAGCTTCTGGCCTGGACTCTGGCCTTGGCCTCTCCAATAGCTTGGTCCAGCCCTTCCCAATCAGTCCCAGGAGCTCAAGACTCACAGTCTACCTGCCTGGGGCAGTGGCTCAAGGTGCTGTGGTACGATCATGGGGGACCCAACACCTCCAGGCTGGATCCTCTCCCAGACATAGCCACACTACCTTTCTCAGGCACACATACCAAACTCTTAACCTCCTTGGGAAGCCTTTTATTCTCACCTTCCACAGGTCGAGCCTGGATCTCAAGAGAGGCCCATGGACTGTCTGCTATGAAAAATATTTAACATCCTACTATTTACAATTTTAGAACATTTAATAAGGAAACCTCCATCTTAATTAACCTTGGGCACCATTGGTCAGGGATAGTGTTATCCTGGCAAGTTCTGGTAATGCCTGGGCTCTCGGGAGTGGTGTGGGACAGCCCAGACAAGGAGCATTTGCCAATTTCTGCGGTATAAATGCACCCACTGTGCCGATGTCAAGCTGCCCAATGTGAAGCAAAGTTGGGACGAGATGAGCACAGTCAGATCTCATGAGCCAGGACCAACATGCTCCTGTACAGCACTGGGCAGAAGCACCTTCCAGACACAGATACAGACAGACAGATCCATGCAGAGGTACACGTTACACAGAAATACAGATGCACATATGTAGACACATACTGACATAGACATTCACATACACAGACACATTGACACAACATGCCTACACACAGGTAATGTAGGCATTCACACATGGAGATACAAAGACATGCAGATAGGCACACAGAGACATACATGCACATTTGCACAGAGACAGGTATGACACTGATACATGTGCTCATGGGCATGTAGGTATACAAACGTGTAGATACTAACACCCATATGAGCACACATGTGGTTACACATGCATACTATCATCCTATGCTGATCTATGAAGGCTTCACAGAATGGTAGGCACCGTCAATGGCGTTCTCTGCTGTTATCTAATGTATGAGTATGCTTTTAAATGCAGAGAAACTTTTGGAAGGATCCACAAGAAACCATTACCAGAGGAATGCACAGTCTGGAGAGGAAAATGTCACCTGTTAAGAGCAGGGACATGGGAGCCAGACTGCCAGCCTGGCCACTTTCGGGCTGTGAACCCTGGCAAGTGACTCCACCCCACTGAGCATCAATTTCCTTAGCTCGGAAATGAGGCTTAGAAGTGCATCCCCCGCCCTGCCCTGGGACTTTTGTAAGGATTGAATGAGCACTAGAGTGGGTATCTACACTTAGAACAGAGGGCTCTGGCTGGGTAGCTCAGTTGGTTAGAGTGTCGTCGCAATATGCCAAGGTTGCAGGTTTGATCCCAGGTCATGGCACATACAAGAAACAACCAATTAATTCATCACTATGTGGAACAACAAACAGATGTTTCTCTCTCAAATCGATAAAAATTTTTTAAAAATTGCTCACTACCAGCAGTCTTAGGTAGAGGTTTGACATTTGTACCTTATTATACTTTTTTATTTTGGAACCCCATTAATGTATTACCTGCTATTAAAATATAAGACATTTTTTAAAAAGTGCTGTCATTTTTAAATGCTTTCTGGGACTCAAATAAATTTATTTACATTGCTGCCCTAGCATATGGTTGAGGTGCATCTCTGTCTGTCTGTCTCACACACAAGTACACATGTTCAGGTCCAAGCTCTGACTCATAGGCCTGGTCCATTCTGCAAGCTCAGGGCCCGCTCCCCCACACCTTTGGCTATGTGCCCCCACCACTGCCAGAGGCCTATCCCACCTCCAGACGCATGCACTCACGGTACACTGTGATGTTAGAAGAGCTTGCCATCTGCGAGCCATTGCAGAAGCCTGAGCACAAGACCTTACTATCAACAGTCACATTGCTGAGCCAGAAGGCTGCCCAGCCTGGGCCATTGTCCACTGGCTTCTTGGGTAAGAATGTCTCCAGGCTGATGAGTTCAGGATTGGGGCACTTTGTACTGCAGTTTACCAAGAGGGACCCTCCAGCAGGTACAACCAGGTCTTTTGGCTCCACCTCAAGCAGGAACTTTTGCCCCTGGGCACCTGCAGGAAGAGAGGAAAGTTCTGCTGGTTGATCCAGTGCCCCCTGCCCCACCCCACACCTATTCATCTTGAGGCCCTACTATCCAACACCTCCTCAAGCCAAGATATGATGGTCTCTGCCTTCATGGTGCTGCTAGTCCAGTGGGAAAGGCAAGTGATAGATCTAGGACGGGGGAGAGATTGGAGGGAGGCTGAGGAAGAACCATACAAATCTATAGGAGTTAGTGGGTTGGGGAAGCTTCCTGGAGGAGAAAACTATAGCCACTTTTGAAGGGGAAGGAGGAGTTAGCCAAGTGAAAGGGAAGACTGGTCCTGGCAGCAGGAGGAGTATAGGCAGAGGTCTAAGGTACAGAGGAGAGAGAGAGTTGGGGGGAGGACAAATCATACCCAGGGACTGGTCCTCTGGAAGCCCTGAAGGCTGAGTTAAGGCCCCACAGTTTTCCAGGACACTGGTGAGCCCCCATCAGATCTGAGTTTAAGGAGTGTTTGCAGCGAACCACAGCTTTCTCCGTTTCTCCATCTTCTACCAGCCCCCCAACTCCAGCCCTCCCCAGGTTTACTTGCTTCACCTGGAGGCAGCAGACAGTAGACCAGAAGCAGAGAGATGAGTGGAGTCCAGCAGGCCCCAGGCAGTGGCCCCAAGGGCACCATGGTGGTCAGTCTGTGGAGGACAGTGGCCTAATGAGTGGCACTGGGCAGGGCAGCAGGGATCGGGTGTGGTCACCCAGAGGGGGGAACCACAGCCACAGTGGTTGAGATTGCAAAAATCCGGGGACTGAACCTTGCCCAGGCCTCAGGAAGAGCAGGGGGGATATCCTGCAGTGCCACAGGTCCAGAGTGGGGAGCCCAAGTGGGGCTCAGCGAGGTGGTGGGTACCGGTGAGTCTCTGACGGGCGGCAGGGGCGGGGCTGAGGGCCGATGTCGCACTCGTGGCTCCTAAATGAACTCACAGGAAATGCTAACAAAACCGTCTTCCTTTTGAAACCGGAAAAGCCAGTGTTCCTGCTGCTTGTTACCACCAGAACCAATAAGCAGACGGGGAATCTTTGAATCTTTATTGAATCTTTATGGGCACTTTATTCAGATGGCACGCTATCAGAGAAGATGGCAGGTTATGTACTCTAACAGACCGACTTACATTTCCTTTCAAGCCAGCTTTTTTATAAGGAGGAAAATGTGTAGGCAAGGGATATGGAATTCAAGGGGAAAAAATGAGTTCCCCCATCACTTTGTCCTCAGTCCTAAGACACCTGAGGAGGGGAGAGGGGGTGAGACACCTGTTTTCTGCTGAACTTAGTTGAGGGTAGAATTGCGCAGAAACTTTATTTCTTTTTTTTAATGTATTTTATTGATTATGCTATTACAGTTGTCCCATTTCCCCCCTTCTCTCCCCTCCACCCTGTACCCCCTCTCCCACCCACGTTCCCCCACTTTAGTTCATGTCCATGTGTCATACTTATGAGTTCTTTAGCTTCTACATTTCCCGTACTATTCTTGCCCTCCCCCTATCTAATTTTCAACCTACATTCTATGCTACTTATTCTCTATACCTTTTCCCCCCTCTCCTCCTCCCACCCCCCCTGCTGCTAGCCCTCCATGTGCCCTCCATTTCTGTGGTTCTGTTCCTGTTCTAGTTGTTTACTTAGTTTCTTTTGGTTTTGCTTTAGGTGTGGTTGTTAATAATTGTGAGTTTGCTGTCCTTTTATTATACATGTTTTTTCTTTATCTTCTTTTCTTAGATAAGTCCCTTTAGCATTTCATAAAATAAGGGCTTGGTGATGATGAACTCCTTTAATTTGACCTTATCTGAGAAGCACTTTATCTTCCCTTCCATTCTAAATGAGAGCTTTGCTGGATAGAGCAATCTGGGATGTAGGTCCTTGTCTTTCATGACTTGGAATATTTCTTTCCAGCCCCTTCTTGCCTGTAAGGTCTCTTTGGAGAAATCAGCTGACAGTCTGATGGGAACTCCTTTGTAGGTTACCGTCCCCTTATCTCTTGCTGCTTCTAGGATTCTCTCCTTCGTTTTTACCTTGACTAATGTAATTATGATGTGCCTTGGTGTGTTTCTTCTTGGGTCCAACTTCTTTGGGGCTCTCTGAGCTTCTTGGCTTTCTTGGAACTGTTCCCTTTGCCAGATTGGGGAAGTTCTCCTTTATTATTTGTTCAAATACGTGCTCCATCTGTTGCTTTTCTCCTTCCTGTTCTGGTACCCCTATAATTCGGATGTTGGAATGTTTAAAGGTGTCCTGGATGCTCTTAAGCTTTTCCTCAATTTTTTGAATTCTTATTTCATCATGCTTTCCTGCTTGGTTGATTCTATCTTCCTTCTTGTCCACTGTATTGTTTTGAGACTCAGATTCCTTCCTTTCTCTATTGGTTCTCCTCCGCGTATCTTCCTGCATCTCTTTTATGGTAACCTGCATCCTTTCATCTAAATTGTGCCCAAAATCAACCAATTCCATGAGCTTTCTGATCACCAGTGTTTTGAACTGTGCATCTGATAGATTGGCTATTTCTTGGTCGCTCAAAAGGATGAGTCCTGTGGGACTGATCTGTTCTGTTGGAAACATATCTTATGTCTTTCCCTGTCTCTCCTTTTTTTTTTTTTTCAGTCTGGTCGCTCTTGTTACGGTGGGGGATGGAGCCTTAGGTGTTCACTGGGGCTGGGCACCCCTGTCTCTAGATTGTGATGTTATATGTGGGGGCGGAGGCGGGAGCGGGGATGGGAGGGAACAATGGCGGTAGTTCCGTTCTCCTGGGCTCAGACCCTTCTTTGGGTTCCTGGGCTGCGAACTCTGCCCTGGTCCACAATCGCTGCCTCACTGGGTCCGCCAGCCACAGCTTGCATACTCAGGGATCACCGCTGCGTTCTTGCACCCCAGATGGCTGTCGGGCCGATTTCACGCCAAATTTTCCCCGACCTCCACGCACCACTGACCCGTGCCAGCCCCATGCCCGCCCGTCGTATCCTACCAGTCTGGATGTACGGGTCTACTTCAACTTCTTGGCTGTCCGACTTCCATTCAGATAAATCCTCTATCAGTTCTGAGTGATATTCTGTTTGTAAATTATTGTTGTTCTAATCTTGGTTGTGCGAGGAGGTACGGTGCGTCCACCTATTCCTCCATCTTGCCGGAAGTCCCCCGAAACTTTATTTCTTTGGTATGATCTTTCCTCCTTTCTGTCTTTGTGATTTAAACTGGCCTCAATAAATGAAAAAGAAAAAGCTGGTCTCATCCTACACCCTGACTCTCCCACCTCCCTCTCCACTGCAGACCCACTCCCTTAACTACTACCAGGACAATGAAGTTCAGGTCAGCATTAGATAATCTCAGGAACAAAGCCCCAGGTCTGCTGACCACAGAGGAAGATAACATGTAGGCTTCAGTTGTGCTTCAGCTCTGGATCCAGGACAGTAGAGCATCCCACTGACCAAATCCGTGCCAAACCAGACGGAATAGCACCGTGGATAACAAAAAGAGCAGATGCAATGATCGACCACCCCTTACCTTAGCGCCAATGAGTCTTTGGAAACCACAACCCTAACTCCCTCAGTCCTCTATGTCACCCATCCTCAAGAAGCCACCAGGGAGCCAGGTCTTTGAGCACAAGCTCACCTGTGACTCCAGGGGTGGCACCATTTCCCCAATTAATAAACCTTTACTTTCTTGGCTGTAAACTCCTGTTTGCTTTTGGCTGGGCTTTGATGCGCACAGGTGACCAAACCCCTTCAGGTCAGTAACAGAGGAGAAGGCATTCTGTTCCTGGAAGTAATCAGGTGGGATTTCAAGGCAACATATTGAGGGAACAATGGAGAGCTTCTAGGCAGGGCTTCAAGGGCTGAGTGAGATCGCAGCCTCCTTGGGGAACAAATAAGAGATTTGGAGGTGATAAAGAGGGATCCTCTAAGATGAGTAAAGCCATGAAAATGAACAGAGCCCACATTTATTGGGCTCTTGGGCCAGGTGCTTTATTTCTGAAGGTTGTTTTTTTTTTTTTTTGGTTGGGGGAGGTCCTTCCAGTTTTGAAGGTTTTGGGAAATCCCCGCATTCTCTATGCACAGTGTTGAGGTGGGGTGTTAAGGAGACAGCTGAATCCTGAGCCGCCATCTGTCAAGGATGCTACTTGTAACTTGCCCTTCCCCCATCCTTATTCCTCCCTTGCCTTCCCCTCCAAGCAGCTGATCTCTTCTTCCCAAGAGACAGGACTAGGAGGTCAGGTGGCCATTCCCACCTCCATCTGCTCTCTCTCTCAGGCCTCCAATCCGTCTCTTGTTCCTCTGGTCTGAGCCCCAGTGAGGGACCTTGTTGAGGGCTTTGGTGGCACCCAGCAGCCATCCAGTCTCGTCATCCCTGAGGCCATAGCCATCCCTCTCTCACATGGGGCGCTTCCCCCCTCCAATCAGGGGTCTCCTCTGCTGCCCTGCTCCCCCATCCATTTCCAACACGGTGCTGAGAACAACTAAAACTCAAAGTATTTGTAAATAATATATTTGATAAGAGATTATATCCAGATTGTAAAGAATTCTTACAACTCAACAACAACAGCAAAAACCCAGTTCAAAAATGGGCAAAGTGGTCCTGGCTGGGTAGCTCAGCTGGTCAGAACATTGTCGCAGTATACCAAGGTTGGGGGTTCGATCCCTGATCAGGGCACATACAAGAATCAACCAATGAATGCATAAGTAAGAAGAACAAATCAATCTCTCTCTCTTGCCCTCTCTTCTTCTCTCTAAAATCAATTTTATTTATTTTTAGACAGAGGGGAAGGGAGGGAGAAAGGCAGAGAAATATTAATGTTTGGTTGTCTCTCATACGCCCCATACTGGGGGACCTAGCCCACAACCCAGGCATGTGCCCTGACTGGGAATTGAACCAGCAATCCTTTGGTTCTCAGGCCAGTGCTCAATCCACTGTGCCACACCAGCCGGGGCTCTAAAATCAATTTTAAAAATGGGCAAAGGACTTGAATACATATTTCTCCAAAGAAGCTATTCAAATAAGCAATAAATACATGAAAAGATGCTCAACATCATTAGTCATTATGGAAATGCAATCAAAACCACAAAGAGATAGCACTTCACAACTATTAGGATGGCTATCATTAAAAAAACAAAACAGAAAATAGCAAGCGTTGACAGAGATGTGGAGAAACTAGAACGCTCATATTTTGCTGGTGGGAATATAAAACTTTGTTTCTCCAAGTTTTACAGAATGATCCAGAAATTCCTCTACTAAAAGAATTGAAAGCAGAGACTCAAACAGATACTTGCACACCAGTGTTCATAGCAGCATTCAGAACAATCAAGGTGAAAACAGCCCAGATTTCATCAGCAGATGCACAGATGAACTATGGTTTATATACACACAACAGAACGCCACTCAGCCTTACAAAGAAATTTTCACATGTCCCACAACATGGATGAACTTAGAAAACATGTTAAGTGAAATAAGCCAGGCACAAAAGAACAAATATTCCACTTATATGAGGTACCTAAAATAGAAAAATTCATAGAGAAAGTAGAATGGTGTTTACCCGGGGCTGGGAGAGGAGGGAAATGAGGGGTTAGTGTAGAATGGGGGCAGTTCTGTTTGGGAAGATGAAAAAAGTCTGCAAATTCATAGTAGAGTTGGTTAAATAACATTGTGAATTTATGTATGCATGTAATGCCACTGAATCACACACTTAAAAATGGTTAAAATGGGCCCTGGCTGGTGTGGTTCAGTGGATTGAGTGCTGGCCTGGGAAACAAAGGGTCACCAGTTGATCGAGGTGAGGACAGATGAATGCATCAAAACCACCCCCCGATGAGGACATCAGACTGGTGATGTCTATAGGACAAACAACCTCATTTCTTCACTATGTTGCCACAGAGGTATGGGGTGTGGGGCAGGAAGAGGAAAAGGAACCAGCCCTCAGCCATACACCATATATGAACCAACATTGTTTGGATTTTTATTTGAACAGACTAAACAAACACCAAATATTTAAGGTACAATTGGGGAAATCTGAACATTCACAGGCTACACAATGATATTGAGGAATTGTTAAACTTTTTAGGTGTGATAGTGATATAGTAGTGATTGTGGTTACATCTTCTTGAGATATACATATGCAAGTTTTTTACAGATAAAATGATATCTGGGATTTGTTTCAAAATGACCCAGTGGCAGAGGTAGGGGCAGGTATAGAGCTGAAACATGACTGGCCGTGGGTATTGGAAACTGATGGTACAGTTTATATTACATTATTCTCCCTTGTTTTGCATATGCTTCATCTGTATAATAGTTTTCATGTTTATTTTTTTATTTAAAAATTTTATTTATTTTTAGACAGAAGGGAAGGAGAAAGAGAGGGAGAGAATCATCAATGCACACCCCCTACTGAGGACCTGGCTCGTAACCCAGGCATGTGCCCTGGCTGGGAATCGAACTGGTGAACCTTTGCTTTGCAGTCCGGCACTCAATCCACTGAGCCACACCGGCCAGGGGCATACAATAGTTTTTTAAAAACCCCTGGCCGGTGTGGCTCAGTGGATTGAACACGGGCCTGTGAACTGAGAGGTCATAGGTTCAATTCCCTGTCAGGGCACATGCCTGAATTGTAGACCAGGTCCCCAGTTGGGGACGTGCGAGAGGCAACCAGCTGATGTTTCCCTTCTTCTCTTTCTCCCTCCCTTCCCCTCTCTGGAAATACATTTTAAAAAATATTAAAAAAAATAAAAAAGTGACTGCACAATGCCCTGGCTGGGTGGCTCAGCTGATAGGAGCATCCTCCCATACACCAGAAGCGTGCGGGTTCAATCCCGGTCAGGGCACATGCCTAGGTTTTGGGTTCGATCCCTTGTTGGGGTGCATATGGGAAGTAACTGATCAATGTTTCTCTCCCACACTGCTGTTTGTCTCCCTCTCTCCAAAATCAATAAATGTATCCTCAGGTAAGGATTTAAAAAAAAGTAGCTGCACAAAAATAGGCCAAGATAATTTTTTAAAAGGGAGATCTACCCTATCAAATATAAAAACATATTCTAGTGGCAATGTCTTTTCCAATTAGCAGGCTAGATCCTACCAGCAGCTGTTCCTTTGGCCATCCCCAGATACGCTTGAATGTGGGTGAAACCAGGCGCACACGTGGTTCCTCACCGCAGCACTGCCATGGACAAGCAAAGGATTGGAAATAACTATATGGACCCCAGCAGGGGCTACAACGCAACCACAAACAGAACAAGGAACTACTGCATTCCTGGATATATAGGACCATCTCGAAGACCCATTATGTAGGGAAAGAAAGAACAACTGTACAACAGACTTGAGCTGTGCAAATAGTTGCACATGCGACTATTTTTGCAAAAGACAGGAGAGAGTATGTGTACAGATTTCCTTGTATCTAGATAAAATATCTCTGGAAGCGAAAACAGAAATCAGACGTCATTAGTTTAATGACGTCTGATTGCCTCCAGGGACGACAATGGTGGCTGATGGATAGGAGAGAGACCTCAAGAAAACAAGATAATTAAAATGAATATTTAATTTTGAAAACTGTTATAAAATGCAAATGCTACTGGGATATGTGAAACTGTCTGTTCAGGACAGCTTCAGTGCATAAGGTTTGAGAAGTCCTATGGGAAAGCAAATTATTTAACTGTTTTCCACAATGTGGATGACACAGACCTGTGCCAAGTGCAGCAATCAGGCAGAAACACTTTGGCAAACACCAGGCTAACAATAGCAAATGTTTATTAGGCAATTGTTTGCATATCTCTCAGCTAAGCACTGACACACACAAACTCAAAGCCATTTAATTAGTCCTCCAAGGTAGCAACCAGGACCATCCTCAGTTCATAGTTGAGAACCGAGGCCCAGAGAGGGAAGGTCACTTGCCTGAGGTCGCACAGGGAGGAATGGGTGACACTGGTAGTCTTAGCAATGTGGTATGTGGCCCCCCAAATCCTTTGTTGGTATATGTAACAAGTAGTTATTGAGTGCCTTCTGTGTTCCTGGCACTGGTCTAACCGCTAGCTAGTGACTTAGAGGGGAGCAAAGGGTGAGTAGTTGAATCTGGCTTCTTCTGTAGTGAGTATCTTGCTGTAGCTGTCATCCTCAGAAGAGCAGATGTTTGCTGAAGAAGGACCCAAAGGCCAGAGCCTCAGCACAGGAAGTAGGAGTTTATTACTAGCTAGAGGAGACAGTGGGCTGTAAGGGCGGAGCTGGCAGAAGACATAAAGATTGGATTCAAGGGCCTGATTAGCTCCTAGGCTGTCCTGGGTCCCTCCAGAGCCTGTGTCAGGCTCATGACTGTTGACAATGCTATGGTTTGAACGTTTGCGTTCCCTCAAGATTCAAATGTTGAAATTCAAATGCCCCATGTGATGGTATTAGGAGGTGGGTCTTTGGGAGGTGCGTAGGCCCCTCATAAATGGGATTACTGCCCTTACAAAAGAGGCTCCAGAAAGATCCCTCGCCCCCTTCCACCTTGTGAGGACACAGTGAGAAGATGCAGGCTATGAAGCAAGAAGAGAGCCTTCACCCAAATGTAACCAGGCTGGCACCTTAAACTTGGACTCCCAGCTCCAGAATTGTGATGCAGTTCTGGTTGTTTCCAAGCCCCCCTAAGTGTGTGGTGTTCTGTTACAGCAGGCCGCATGGACAAAGGCAAGGAAAGTCAGTCAGGTCACAGACCTGGGGTCCTAGGCAGTAAGACACAGGGAGTAGGTGAAGCCAACTTCCTCCTAGGCCGGAAGTGGGAGGCCCTCTCTGTGGGTACTATCTGCTCCGATTCCCGGAAGCAGAGCCACCTGACAGGCTTCAGCAGACACTGAACACCGAGGGGGCCTGGCCCCGGTATTTCTCATGGGCCGTTTTCAGGATGGGTACGAGGTTCTGGAAGGTTGGGCGAAATGAGGCCTCTGCCTCCCAGCAGTTCTTCATGAGGAGATAGACCTGGGGGAGGAAAAATGGGGCTGTGGTTAGTGCTCTGTCCACAGCCCGACGGCTGGGACAGTGGAAAAGGTGGGGAGGTCTCACCTCATAGGGACATTTTTCTGGCCTTGGCAGCCTCTCCCCTCGTTCCAGCAGCTCAGTGAGCCTCAGTACTGTCATCTGCCCCTGGGTGGGGCCTATGAGCTCGATGAATTTCTGCAGAAGAAACAAGGTAAATCTTCAAAAGGCAGGGCTGCCTAGGTAGAGGTTGAGTGTGGAGTGGGACTACAGTAATTCTAGTCCTGCCTTGACCACTTCTCAGCTTTGGACTTAGCATCTTGCTCTTTAGGCTTCAGTTTTCCCATCTGTGAAATGGGGTAAAAATATCAACTACCTAGGGTGGTGACTGGAAGAGTTAGATAAACTCATATTCATGCAGTAAGTCTGAATCGGTGTTTGTTGCTGTTACCAAGCCCCCCAGCAAGCTGTTTTTGCCTGCCAGGATCTGTCTTTTTTTCCCCTCCTATAAATGTACTCTGACTTTGGAAATAAAAACCTAACATTCTCTTAGCCCCACCCCCAGACCAGGCCTGGCTAATAATTGTGGCCAATGGATACACAGTGATTGGCTTCCTAGAGGACACATGAGCCAAGTTGGGCCAATCAGATAGTCCTGAGAATTAAATTGGAAAGGACCCTTTTTCCCCCTTAGTTGGAGGGCGGGGTGGGGCAGATTGTTGCTACCACAGAAAACAGTGGAGCTGAGGGGGTGGGGTTCATGATGACGTGAGAATCTAGCTGCACCCCAACTGTTCCCTTGAATTTGCAGAGTGGAAAAAGCTGCTTCTATGTGAATGGGGTTTCTGTCACAACCAAAGCACCTGGCATTGGAGGTGGCCCATTTTATAGATTGGGACTATGAGGCTCACATGGATTAAGCACTTATTATCCTGAGGAAGTTGTGAACTGAATATGTGCCTTTCTAACTCCTCTAGTGTGGAGTGGGGGGGCTCTCACCGAGGGGGGGCTTTGGCTGGAGTCACAGTAGGTCAGCAGTTCATACAGGGTGACTCCAAAGGACCAGATATCAGATGCATAGTAGAACTTACACTCCTTCAGGCACTCGGGGGCATACCTGTGGGGAGACGGCAGTGACATTTCGGGCCAGACCAGGATGGAGTCCTTCTCTGGGGTATGGGAGCCCCTGGCCCCCATACCAGTCAGGGCCCCATCCTTAAGGGGAAGCAGTTTCACTGAGACTGGGCCCTGTCATCTGAAACCCCAGCATCCACCTCCACCCTGTCTGCCCCAGAAGACCCTGGTGCCCCCTCTGGCTGGGTCCCTCCTGGTCACCAGAACACAGGGCTGTCCCCATCCTCGCGCACGCGGTAGTACTCGTGGCCTTCAGGCACAGCCTTGGTGAGGCCAAAGTCCCCAATCTTGACCAGGCTGTCGTTGTCCAGCAGCACGTTGCGGGCAGCCAGGTCTCGGTGGACATAGTGCTGCATGTGCAGGTAGGCCATGCCCTGGGGGCGGGGTGGGGCAAGTCATGACCAGTAGGGCGAGGCAGGGCCTGAGGAGTTATGACCAGTGTGTCTGGGGGTGAGTGAGTGAGGACAGGCGTGCAGGGACCTGGAGCAAAGGCAGGCAGGATGGCAAGTGGAACCCAGCAGAAGGGAGCAGGGCCACAGTGGCAACCCTGGGCAGGGGGGCGGGCAAACTGGGAGGGCCTGGGCTTCTGGGTTCAGCCAGGTGAGCAGAGGGAGTCTCAAACGTGAAAACTAGGTGGGTTGGGAGTGTGGCCAGGTGATGGGCTGAAGAGACTGGTGTAGGGGATAGCAGGCCTGGGAGCAGGCCACCAAGCAAAGGGACAGGACACTCAGGCCAGGCCAAAGAGGAAGGGGCAGTTCTGCGAGCAGGGTTGGGCTGGCCTACCTCGCAGATTTGCTGCGCAAACAGCAGCAGCTGGGCCAGCCCTATGCTGTGCCGGGGCAGGTAGTCTCGGAGGCTGCCCAGGGGCATGTACTCCATGACAAGGTGCATCGCTTTCTCACCTAAGGGTGACAGAGGCAGAGGCTGGGGACCTCCCATCCTAAGCCCTGCAGTTCCCCCACCCCCAAGTGGGGAGGAAAGGCCAAGGCCTCCCACACTAGGCCTAGTCCTCAGGTGGAACAGATCCATCCTGAACCCCATCCCCAATCAAGTGAGGGAGCTGCCAGCAGCGCCCACCCTTCCTGGCTCCAGCAGATCTGGCAGGGAGGGGAGGTGGGAAGGAGGCAGGCCCCCTACACCTATAGACTGTCTTCCAGCCAAGGACTGAGAGGCTCTGACTGGCCAGGCCCTGACAGACCTGCCCAGCACCACCCACCTTGGTCCTCACAGCAGCCCTTGTACTTGACAATGTGCTCATGGTAGAGTGTGCGCAGGATGTCAATCTCCCGCCTCCAGCCAGTGTGGAGCTGAGGGCTGCAGCCCGCCTTGAGAGCCTTCACGGCCACCATCTCACCAGTGCCTTCGTTGGTTGGGTCATAGCAGTACAGGCTGACCTTGCCAAAGTGGCCCTGACCAAGACACAGGATGGTCAGACCCACCCCTGTCTCCTTGGGCCCTGCCTCCACACAGGTCTCTTTCTAACAGCCGACCCTCCGCTGCGGCTCCAGGCCCTCACCTCACCCAGATCCCGGATCTTTTTCAAATAGCGCTTGTGGAAAATAGTGGGGTCTGATGCTGGTGAGGTTGGGTTCACATGCAGGACTGCCGAAAGATCTGGAAGAGCCACAGTGTGTGAGGCCAGACCCTGACCCTTTACCCAGCAGGCCCACACTTGGGGCACAGAAAGCAGGTGAGTGCTTCCCCTCCGACCCAGAGATCAGAAAACTTTCTGCGACAGCCGGAAAACTCCACTTCTGGTCCAAAATGCAGAGTTGGCTCCATCAAACTGACACCTGGGATATTCTGAGACTGGGCAAGGGCACAAACTTTTTACCAAGAGAGAAAACAAAAAATAAATGAGAGTCTAATTCATCCACAGAGAGCTGTGGCTGCCTCTTAGCAAAACATTAAGAACTCGGAGCATTCTCCCAACCCCCTTAAGCAAAGGAGAATTGGCACACACCCTGAACCGCTGTACACAGACAGACCTGGGGTGCACTCTGCTGGCATCAGCAGGGTTCCTGGCCCCTCCCCCTGCCCCAAGGTCCCAACACTGGCTTGGGGCTCACTTTGGAGCTGAAGGTGAGTGAGGTCACGAAGGATGGTGCGGAAGGAAGGCCGCTGGGCTGGCTCATAGGTCAGGCACTGGCTGGTGAGTGTGGCTAGCTCCGGGCATGCGGGTTCAGGCAGTTGGTGCCGCTTCTGGTAGAAGCACTCTTTCTGTGAGGAAGGGGACCTGAAGGGTCAAGTGACTCCAGCCTCCCAAGTCTCCTTACACAAGAGGCAGAGTTAAACCCCCAAAGTGGCAGGGCTAGACCAGCCAGCTGCCTTGTTCTGTCATCCCTATTTTACTGAGGCAACTGAGGCAACTGAGCCCCTGCAAAGTGAAGCCGACTTGCTTGCCACTGCAGAACCAGGCCCTGAACCCAAGTCTAGCACTCGCACTTGGCCCTTCCTGTCCTGGCTTCCACCCACCTCTGCTCCCAGGATGCTCTGCAGATGCAGCTTCCCGAATGCACCAAAGCCTCTGGGCCTTTGCACAAGCTGCGCCTAGGCTACCCTTCCTAGCCTGGGCCACTGCCACTGCAGTATTTCTGCACTTAGATGGAAACTTCCTGGCCCTAGTCAGGTTGCTCAGTTGGTTAGAGAGTAGTCCTGATACTCCAGGGTGACAGGTTCAATCCCTGGTCAGGGCATATGCAAGAATCAACTAGTAAACGCATAAGTAAGTAGAACAGTTTGTTTTTTCTCTCTCTCCCTGCCCTTAAAAAACAACAACAAAAAAAACTTCCTCTGGGAAGTCTTGCCTGATCCCTCAGGTAAGTCAGGGCCATCCTCTGGAACCCCTTCTCCCCTACAGTCTATGCTTCCCCCATCACTGCCCCGGTCACTGTGCCTAAAACTGAAGCAGTCACTCATTTGCTGTATGCCACAATGACCTTTGAGGTCGGGACTACTGTTAACCCCAAATGACAAATAACCTGATGGAGCCCCAAAGAGATGAGGCAACACACGTAAGGCCACAGGCCAGAGGGGGGCAACCCTGAACTCTGATGTGCCCTCTATACTCCTCAGAGGTGTTGGCGCCTTTGTGGGAGGGGCCCAAGGGTTACCCCCATGTACCTCAGAGGGACTGCGGTCCTGCAGGGGGGCCTCCCCATCGAAGCAGATCTCCAGAAGAGTGGCACCAAAGCCCCACTTGTCAGCGGCGGTGCTCAGGCTGTTGGCCCCACCAGACATGCACTCGGGGGCCATCCAGGGGATCCGCTCTACCCGCTCTGGGGGCCAGGGCCAGGGGTCACCAAGGGTGAAAAGAGCGGGGTAAGCCGGTCCCCATGCCCAGCCCGGTCCCAGTCCTCACCCTCCCTGGAAAGGGCACCCAGGCCCACGCCAGGGTCGCTCAGTTTGATGAACGGGCTGGTGCCCTCCGCCAGCCCCACACGTGCCAGCAGGATGTTCCGGCCACACACGTTACTGTGAGCCAGGCTCTTGTCCTCCTGGGTGGGAAGGAGAGGGGCATAGCCAGTGGGGGCCTACAGACCCTGTTCACGCCCATCCCACAGGGACAGCCCACGTGAAAACAACAGTCACGGTCATTATTGGGATCTCAGTACACTCTCATTGTGACCGGACACCCCTAGGTGCCCAGTGAGTCCCTCCTGTTCTCCCAGAGCTGGTGGTCAAGGCTCCTGGCCTGCGACAAGAGGCCAAAGGACCCCACTGCTGTCTTCAAACCCACGCCAGACACACTCCTTCCCTGGGGCCTTTGCATTGGCTACTCCCTCTGCCTGCGGTGCAGCTGGGAACCCTTCCTCAGCCCATTTTTAAAAATTTTTGACCTCTTCCCCAGCTTGTAGCAACTCCTTAACTGTACCCCCAATCCCCCCTCCCCCAAGTTTCTTACTAATTTCTAACATACTGTGTAACATACTTAATTATTATTTCTTATTTATCCCTTCCAACTAAAAATGCTGGCTCCTCAAAGGATAGAGAATCCTGTCTATTTTGTTCTTTGTATGTCCCTAGGGCCTATGACAGAGCCTGGCACACAGAGGGTGCTCTGGGAATGGCTGACTGGACCAGGAGGGGCTGGGGATGAATGGCAAGAGAGTGACACAGGTGGCCAAGGCCAAGCTCCATTGGGCCTCGAACACAAAGTAGAGGAGTCAGGTGTCCTCTTCAGAAGAAAGGAGCCCCGTGGGTATATGAGCAGAAGAGGTTTGTGGGAAGACCTTCTGGGGCCAGTGTGAGGACTGAAGGACGTGTTGAGGCCTCCCCACCCAGTACAGAGGCTGCCCTGGCCCACCCCACTGACCCAGGTCCTGCCCATAGGCCACACACCAGGTAGCTGAGGGCACTGGCCAGCTGCTGGGCCACTGCCACCTTCCAGGCCACAGGCACACGGCCCCTCTCCCGTCGCAGCCACACGTCCAGGGGTCCATGCTCCACGTACTCGGTCACCATGATATCTGCAAAGGCCAGCTGCTGCAGGCCCCCCCCCCGACCCCGCCGCCTCCACCCTCCAGGGCACCAGAGAAGAGTGGGGGCTGGGGCTGTGGGTGGGAAAGCTGTTAGGCAGGGGGGCTTGGCTGTGTGGGGACTTGGGAGTGACTTTGGGGAGAGAAGGAATGCAGGATGGAGCACAGGCTGAGGTGGGTGCAGGGTGAGAGGTGAATGGTGTCATTTGGGTCCAGGGTGAGTCTGGGTCATAGAGTCAGCTGCCATGTCAGTGACAAAGGTGAGGATGGGCCTGGGGATCAGGAGGTGGGTACAGACAAGTGGAGGCGTGGAGCTCAACGGGGGCATAAATGATGCTAATCCCACAGGGTTGGGTGCTCGGGATGCAAGGCATGCAGGGTCAGGGTACAGGCTGGCATTAGAGGGAAGCAGGAGAGATGGACACATGGAGTTTGGGTTTTGAGGGCTAGCTGAGGTCATTCTGCACAAGGAGTTTTGAGCTCTACACACAGTAGGGGAAGAGGTAGGGATGGGGCAGGGGCTGAGGCCTGGGAGGACAGGGGTGCCCAACAGGGTGGGGTCTGCATGGGGTCACTGTCCTGATGGGGTCAGGGGGGAAGATGGGGGCTGGCAGTTGAGGCATCTAAGTGGTGGAAAAGGAGTGGAACACAGTCAGCAGTCAAGCTGTAGTGAGGGTTGCGGTGCAGGTAATGGTCCAGGTGTAGCCAGGGGCTGAGCTGCCATGGGCTGGCACATCATCAAGGGTTGGGGTATGGGTGGGGAGCTGAGTAGTCAGACTGGGGTGTAGTCAGGGGTCAGGATACTGGGCAAGGGCCAGTGTGTAGCCAGGGATCAGGATGCAGGTCAAAGGCTGGGGCACAGCTCAGGGAGTGGGTACCGGTGGAGGGGTCGGCCTGTAAATGGTGGGGCATGTGTGCTGGGGTCCACTCACTTTTGGAGCTGTGCACGCAGATACCGTGGATGAAGGTCAGGTGCACATGGGACACCTGGCTCATGAGGCTGGCCGTCTCATAGAAGGCCTGTGAGGACAGGCCAGGTCAGGTGGCCACATATGCTACCCCAACCTCTGGCCCCCGTGTGGCGTTCACTCACCAGGGCAATGTCATGGTGACTGGGGTCCAGCACCTTCAGTACCACTCGTAGCTCCTGCCCACGGTCCTCACCGAGTGAGGCGGGGTCCCCGTCTGCCTTGTCCTCCTCAGGGCCTCCGCCCCCGACTCGCAAGAGGCCTTCATACACATTGGTCCTTGTGCCCTGGCCCAAGTGGGACAGCTGGTGGAACAGGACAGAGAACATCTCCATGACAACAGCTGGTGATGGCCCTCCCCATGACCCTATGCCCCAAGGAGGCCCGAGCCCACACACACCTGGGTGATGTCATCCTGGCAGATCCAGTGGAAGCTGAGCTGGCTGAGGTTGAGAGACCTGGTGCTGGCCCGAGGTCCCCGCATAATGATGAGGTTGGAGATCTCTGAGGGTGGAAGCAAAGTCACTGAGGGCTGGCAGGTGGGGAGTAGCCACCCCACAGTGTGTCCCCATCATCGTACCTCCTGGTCTTGGCAGGCAGCAGTGGCGCAGGGAGAAGCAGTTGTCACCGGCCTGCAGAGAGCAGCCCTGCAGGGTGGCCCGCAGCTCCCGCACACTGGGGAAGGACCGGTCCCAGCTCTCCAGGCTGAAGGCCCCTGCAGACAGCTCAATGGGGAACTTGCGCAGGCGCAAACACTGCATGCCAGGGGCCTGGGGTGGGTGGCAGGGTGGGGGCGGTAAGCAGGGGTCTAGGCAAGGAGTGTACCCAACCCCAGCCCAGTGCCCTCATCCCAGGCCCACCTGGTCCTGCTGGGCCACTGTGAGGATGAGGCGGTCAAAGTGGGTGGTGCTCCAGTGGATGAGATAAAGGCCACCCTCTGGCTGCAGCTTGGCCAGCACATACGGCTCCCTGTGGGGGGCAAGGGGGCAGTGTCAGAGGGCACAGCTGGACCCCCACCTGGCAACAAGAACACCAACACCTACCCAGGGAGTCACCCTTCCATCTGGGACAAAGGTCAGACCCATCTGCTTACGTAGTGACACTGAGTCTGGGACACACACGCACAGCTGTATCACTGTCACACATGACAACTCGCACAGTGATGGGCACAGGAACAGCCACACACTTGTGTGCAACAACTGTCAGACACCATCACTGACCTGGCAACACACACACAGAGGTAGAAAACAGCTGTCAAATGTCGAAGGGCACACACCCAGCCACTGACATTCACAGGGCAACACACCCTGAACAGTCTGTCATTCACTGCTTACTCAGTATGAGAAGGCAATGTAGGAGCATTGACATCCCAGGGCCAGAGGTGACCACCACCACGAGCACAGCAGGCACCACACGGCGACACGGTGCTGCAGCCCAGGCGCCCACATGCGTGGCAGCTCACGTGCTACAGACTGGCTGCCTGTGTCCCCCTAAAATCCATACGTGGGAGCCCTGGCCCCCAACGCAACGGTATTAGGAGGGGCCTTTGGCAGGCGATTCAGTCATGGTGGTGGAGCCCCCACAGTGAGATCAGTGCCTTAGGAAACGGAGCCCAGCCCTGGCCAGGCAGCTCCCTGGTTAGAGCGTTGTCCCGATACGCCAGGGTTGCAGGTTTGGTCCCTGGTCAGGAGACATACAAGAAGCAACCAATAAATGCATAAATAAGTAGAACAACAAATCGATGGCTCTCTCTCTCCCTGCCACCCTTCCCCTCTCTCTAAAATCAGTCAATAAAAAATTTTGAATTAAAAAAAAAGGACCCCAAAGAGCTCCCTTGCCACTTCCACCATTTGAGGACACAGCAAGAAGACAGCTGCCTTGCCACCAGACATCGGATTTGCTGGTACCTTGAACCTTGACTTCTGGCCTTCAAAACCATTAGAAATAAATGTTTCTAAGCCACCTAGTCCTTGGTATTCTATTACAACAGCCAGAACAGACTAAGACACCCAGTGACATGGCCTACAGATCCGTGCGAGTGGCACACTCCTGGCTGTGACAGGGCACAGCCACAGCCCTCGTGAGGGAGAATGGCACTTCACCCCTCTCTGGTGTAAAGACTAGGCTCCCAGGAGTCAGACCTCTTCAAACCCCCCAGGGGCAAGCTCCAGTGTTATAGACAGAACGAAGGACACCCAGGCACAGGGCCAATGACAAGCTAAGCTGACAGTCGCAAACAAGGGCCTGGCCGATGCAGGCAGCCACACAGGCATCTGATTGTCATATGAGCACTCAACACTTCACATTCTCTCCCTGCTGGTCCGAATGGAATCACGCAGTGACCCACAAACGCCAGGACAACACACCTGCAAGGGCATAAACACTGCACATACTTCCGAATGGCCACTGATGTTTGCACAACACAGCCCCACAGAGAGCACCTGTCCCGTCGCACGTGAACGTGTGGTGACACTTTCATGTGCAGTCACTGAAGCAGTGGCACTGCTGCACACCAGGTGACTGTTACACACCAGACAGGCATGGTGGCTATCCCAAACCCAGACCCTGCCCGCACAACACACTGCCCGTCCCGTTGCAGGCGCCCTCTCTCCCTCTGGACTCCCTGGTGCCACACTCGCATGCATGCACACATGGACAAGCACACATGGGTGGACACATGTGCATGGACACAGGCCCTCACACAAGCACACATGAATATGAATGGAGGGCTCACATCACAGGTACACACCAGACAGAAATGCATGCACAAGTGTGCTCACATGCACTCACACAAATGCATGCACACCCAGCTGCACACAGGCACACACTGAGACATGAATGCACATGAACATATGCACACATCTTGTTTGAGCCGCAAAGTCCCCAGAGCTCAGGGTCTAGCTGGCAGCGGCTACCACCATGGCCCATGCCACACAGCCTCCCTCCTGGGCACTCACAGCAGGGGTCCGTGGATGCCATCCTGGATACTCATCACCAGCCGTGGAGGAGCCACCTCGTGGCACAGGTAGTGGTTGGAGTCGGCCGTCAGGCGGAAGTATCCATCCACCAGTGACACCAAGGACAGGGCGATGGCCCGGGAAGGCAGGGTCAGCTCCTAAAGTCCACAGGGATGTCAAGCAGGCGTCGTAGCCTGGAGGTGCCCCCCAGCCGGCCCTCAGCCCAGCCCCATGCTCGGGCCCCACCAGGCTCTTGTCCTGGCAGTGGATGCTGGCATGGCGTTCTCTTAGCACCACATGGGTGATGTCCTGGAAGTCACAGAAGTAGGCCCACGGCGCCTCCTGTGGCCTGTCCACAGGCTGCTCACCCAACTCTTGGGCCTTGGCTTTCTTCCCAGATGAGCCGGCACGAGGACTCCTGCTGCTGCGGGGGCCCTGGAAACACAGCGCAGGTGGAGGCTGACCTGAGCAGGGCTGTGCCTGTTTAATGTCCCACACGTTCCCCACAGGGATGGGCTGGAGCTGGATGGACCAGGAAATCTCAAGAATCCCCCTCCTTGAGTCATGGTGTCACAGGTGGGACAGAGGACCCACCCCCGAGAGATAGACATGCCAGAAGCTGGAACCTCAGGGAGGGCAGAAAGAACCCTAGTCCTCTCATCCTCTGAGTCCAAAGGGCTTTCCAGAGGTGCAGACCCCAGGAATCACGTCCCTAGGGGAAGGAGGGCACTCCTTAAGAAAGAGACCCATGTGGGGAAAGGGTTCACCATAGCCCCACTCCGAGACCAAGGCCAAGGTTGAATAGGAGCCCCTGCCCAACTCCACCTTGACCCCCAAATGAGAGAGGTACCCTGCTCACCTTTGTCTGTACTGGCCGCCACTGGATGCCGCCAGTGCCAGTCACCAGCACCTCATGGGTAAGGGATTCGACCGCAGACTCGGGCTTGGGGTCTGCAGGGGCCTGCCCACTGTCCTGGATGTAGCAGTGCTCCCCTGTGGCCTGAGGTACCAGTTCTAGGTGGCACACAGGCACACGCTCCGTGCCGAAGCGGGGTGCCAGCTGCTCGAGTGTGGCCAGGTACTTGACCATGATGACCTGCTGGGAAAGGCGGCCTGGCTGGAAGGCCTGCAGGAACCTGTGGAAGATGATCCACAGGCGTAGCTGTGTGAACACGTTGTACTGTTGGATCTCCTCCCGGAAGGAGCGTGGGATACAGTCCTTGAAGCTGTGGGGATGACCAAGAGGGGCTGGTTAGGGGCCTGGGTTGCAGGCCTGGGCGATATGGAACAAATGACTTAACTTCTCTGAACTTCAGCTGCCTTGTTTAGAGAACTGGCAGGCTATCATGAGGTGGAAAAAGAATAAAATAAAGGGCCAGCACAGGAAGGTTGGGTGGTATCGGGGACAGGGAAGCAGATCTCAGAAGGGGACTATGGGCCTGAAATCCAAGAGCAACTTCCTTAAGCTCCAAAGAGCTTGTTTGCTCATCTGAAAAATGGGTGCAAACACTGCTCACCTGTAGGGATGACGACAGCTGTTATTATTACTGAAGTCACTATTGTATTTATTATTAATATTATGATCATCAATAAAAGGCACGACCCTGGGGGGTCCTCGGCTCTTCTTCAGAAAGCCCTGATCCCTCACCCCATCTCCTCATCACCTACCCTGTACTCTCTTCTCCCTGAATTCTCTTCTCCTAGATATCCACACGGCTCCCTCCTTCACTTCCTTCAGATCTTTGAATGTGAACGTCACCTGCTCAGTGAGGAATTCCCCAACCACCCAATTTTAAATTATACACCCCTCACTCCCTGACATTCTCCTTCTTTCTCTTTTCCTGCTTAATTTTCCCCCATTGCACTTTATCACCATCTAGATTATACATTTTACTTTTGTATTTTCTTTATTGCTTGTCCTCTTCACCAGATGTGAGTATCAAGAGGGCAGGGATTTCTGTCTGACCTGTTCACTGCTGTGTCCTCAACAACCAGAACTAGTGCCAGCACACAGCAGGTGCTCGATAAATGTTTGTTGAACAAATGAAGGCATGGAAGTATACAAAGTCTGCCTTGGCCTCCAGACGCCTGGGCATTTCCACCCACCTACAATGTCTCTGCCCCATTCCCAGGCACCTGATCTTCTTGGCCACCTTCTCCAGGGAAATACCGCGGCAGAGAGCGAGGTGGCAGAGGTGCAGAAAGGCCATGCCTAGGCTCTCATTCTTAAAGTGGTGGATCTCCTCCTCACTCGACAGCTCCCACAGTGATGCCACATCATTCACAAACTCATGCTTACCCTGGGGATGGAAAAATCAGGATGAAAGGGAGGCCTGAGAACCTTTTCACTCCCCAGCTTCTGGCCACTTTGGGGAGGGGAAGCACTCCCCATTTTCTGGAAATGCCAAATATACAGCATGCATGTCTCCTCTGCCCAATTCTATGCCCGTGGCAGACATCACTAATTGATCACAGTGCTCTTTAGAGTGCAATCCTAAGAGTCTCAGAACCCTCTGGTTCAGGTAGAAAAAGGATACCAGATGAAATGAGTTGGAACCTATGAGCTATAATTGGGGAAAGAAGAGGGGGCTCCTCAACTGTTCCTAAGTCCCCCTGAAATAATCCCACCTCCTAGCCCTGCTCACACCTGCTCAAAGAGGTACTCAAAGGAGGCTGAGTCCAGGAGCGGCACGCCCTGTTCTGCCTGTTCTGATGAAGTCTCGGCCCCTGGGGGCCCACAGCGGTACACAGCTGGCTCCTGAAGATTCATGCCATGCCAGTTCCGGAAATAAAACCTACAGGAAGGGTGTAGACATGCTGGGGCTGGGCGCAGATCTAGACCAGCTCCAGGAAGCTGGGGTTCAGAGGAGGGAAGACAACAAACGGGGAAGAGCCTTCCCACAGGCCTTCACTCACCTCATGCGGAAGTGCAACATCAAATTTGTGTCTCTGGAGACCTCCAGAATGTGGTTTGGGGGCAGCCAGACCTGGGCCTGGGCATCAAAGAGGGCAAAGAGATTGAAGCAGGGTGGAGTGATGCCTGGAACAGGGGAGAAACAATGTCAGGAGTCAGCATCTGCTGCCATCGCTCCATGGGTCCCAGATCGCCTGTCTCCCTTACAAGGCTTCCCTGCGCCTCCTCCCCTCCTGAAAGAGAACAACACAATATGCTGACCATGCTTTTACCATGGTTTCAATTGTGCAGGACTACTTACATGCAGCTATTTTCTTTTTTTCCACAGAGAGGGGAGAAAGAGATGGAGAGAAACATCAATTGGTTGCCTCTCCATGCCCCCAACAGGGGACCTGGCCTGCAACCCAGACATGTGCCCTGACCAGGAATCAAACTGGTAACCCTTAGGCTCGCAGGTTGGCACTCAGTCCCCTGAGCCACACCAGCCAGGGCTGACCTGCATTTGATTTTAGGTAAGATTTTATTGTCTTAACTCAGGAAAAAAAAAATTTTTTTTGGTGGGGGGAGCTGCTTGTTACTGCAGCAAAACCTATCACTGATCTCTCTTTCTCTCTGAACTCTAGCCAGAAAGACATACCCAACTACCTCCTGGCTATCTCCCCCTGGATGTCACAAGCCCCCTTAGATGTGCCTTGTTCCAAACACATCTTTTAGTTCCCCACACCTGCCCCTTCTCTGCAGTTCTCTAAGCCAGGACTTGGTCCTTGGCCTCAACTCCTCCCACCCTCTCCACCTCAGACTGGTACAAGTCCTGCTCTTTCTGCATCCTCCATCTCTCTAGGATCCACCCACTCTCTCAAATCCAAAGCCCAGGCCTAGTCCAGCCTCCAGACGTGCTGTCATTCTCCACAATGGCCTCCCAAGGCATTTTAAAAATACACATCACTTAAAAATTTTATCTAAAACAGTCCTTTCAGATTAATTTATAATCACCTAAGTACCACCTACCGGATAAAGAAAGAACACTTGGGAAGCACAACTGAAGCCCCCACCTACACCTACCTTCTTTCTCCTCCCACAGAGGTGACCATACTCCTGAAATAAAGTTTATCATTTTCATATCCTCTGTGATCTAGTCTTAAATATTATAAACTCAAAATGTGATGTTATACCATAGGTACCCTCCTGCAATTTGCTTTTTCATGCCATATGAGGATGTGTGTACCACTGGTTAAATTCCCTTTTTCTTGGCTGTGTAGTATTCCAGTGTTTGACCACATGGCTATTTCCTTATACATTCCCCTGCAGAGGGACTTTAAGATAAATGCAACACCACTGCACACTGTCATATGCGTCTCCTGGAACATAAGCTGAGTGTCTACACGGTGCATATCTAGGAGTAGAGCTGTGTGGCCTCAGAGAATACACATTTCAACCCTGTTAGATGATGCCAAATCACTCTATGTCACTGCATCCAAGTGTATTGCCTCTCTCAGAAAGAGAATGCCTCCCTGTGAGACAACTTCCTAAAGAGCCAATCTGACTGTTTCATCTGCTGGCTTAAACCTTCCATGGCTCCCTGTTACCCCTTGAGAAGGCCTAACCGCTCAGCACAGAATAACCATGACCTGGACCGTTACAGTTATGCCCTGGTTTCAATTCCTACTTCCCCTTCCAAATTCTTGAAACTGACTCTCTAGTTACTCTTAAGGTCTTTTGCTTCCTCCAACAGATCAGGCTCCCTGGGCCACCTGCGCATGCAATTATTCCCTACAATGGAAACATTTCACATCACTCAGCGCATCTGTCTGAGTTCTTTTAAGAACCAGCCATTGATTGAAAAGTACAGGGTGTTGTAGGAATCCATCAGAAGGCCTCCACTCAGTCATGGGGGAGGGAGTAAGAAGATGTCCTAGAGGAGGGGGCAAGTAAGCAAAGTCCCCTAGGAGAGACTTCTTCCTCCTCTGGGAGAAGAAATTACACTTTTGAGCACATCTACTACAGGCCCTTCCAGACATTCCCTGGCTCCTTCTGCTCTCAAGAAAAAGTCTCAACTCTCAATTCCTCCTCTGGAGTTTAAAGCACTGTAAGGCCCAGCCCTGACTGACCTCTCCCTCATCACCTCCCACCTCGAGACCACCTCTGTCTCTGCTTCCCTGCTCCCACCCCACCCACTGCAGTCTGTTTCCCATACAGCAGCCAGGGAGCACCTGTGAACACCTGAGTCCAGTCATGTCCCTCTTTTGCTCACAGTCCTGCCTCACTTGGAGTAAAATCCAAAGTCCTCCCTGAGGCCCACAAGGCCCTGTACTGTCACCTCCTTTCCCTCAGCTACTCCCATCTCCTCTCACTCGGCTCAAGCTGTTGCTGACAAATTCCCACCCCAGGACCTTTGCACTTGCTGTTCCCTCTGCCTGATACGCATCTTCCCCAGATATCCCTGTGACTTCCTTAATTGTCTCCTTAAGTTTTAAAATGTCCACCGTCACTTATTTCTGCCCTCCTACACAGTTTTCTTACTTATTATATTTCTTGCTGATTTCCCCATTAGAATATCAGTGCTACAAAGGCAGTGAATGGGGCCGGCACACAGTAGGGCTCACTCAGCATCTGCAGAATGAACGAACAAATGGATGGATAGGGTTCAGCTGCTGCCAGTACCTCCGCTCCTGCCATGGGACTCACCGACTTTTTGTGCAATGTGAATGCAGACCTCCTCTGCGGTCAGTGTGGCCTCGCTGAAAGTGACCCAGGGCTCCCTGCTGTCAGGGCCAGCCCAGTGCAGGAGCACCTTCAGGCCTCCTCTGGTGGTCATGAGCTGAGCTTCATCCCCATTGGGCTTGCTGCCCCTGCCGGTGGCCCCACAATGGCACAGAGGCATGCTCTTGACAGCTGGCTTGGCTGGGAAGGGAGAGTCCATTAGTCCCTGGGCCTCAGCCTGGAGGCTCCTGTCAGCCCTGCAGCCTGCTGCCCATTCAGACTGAGGCCCGAGGGGAATATTCTGAACTCCCCTTGCTGTGCAACCTCAGGCACCCAATTCCCCTCCCTGAGCCTCAGTTTCCACATCTGTGTGATGGAGCTGGGATATGTATACCCAGCTTTTAGACCTGCCACAAACAATAACAACCTCTTTATTGTACAAACTGGCACCAATACAAAAGCCTGCTCTGAACGCATTCATCCCAAAATAACCGGGCAGGCAGGATGGTCCAACAGACCTGGGGGGTGAATGCAGGCGTTCTCTGTGTCAACTCAGGCAAGTCACTTAGCCACGCTGGGCCTCAGTTTCCCCATTTGGAGAATGGAGATGCTGAGAGTGTTGCCATCAAAAGGTGGTTGTGACTTTTCAACACAATTCTGCATCTTCACATGTATATGTTCAGCACAGACCTTGATATAGGCCTGAAAAAAATAACAAATATGACAAAAACAAGAGTAAAATCATTATTGGTTTCATTCTCATGATCATTTTTTCTCGTTCAGGCCAAGATTCCTGCCTCCCACATCCACGCCCATGAGCGACCCCAGGCCCTTCTGACTACCCTGGGCCAAGGAGAGGTTTTGTTCCGCTCTCTCCACGCAAACCAGCTCTGGGACTTTCTGAAGGCCAGGCCCAGGGCCGGGGCCTCCTGCCTGAGGTCTCCAGTATCTCCAGGGAGTGGCTGTCAGCGATTCTACTGATGTTACTGATTTAAGACAGTGATGGAAAGAGGAGAATGTTGTAATAGCATAATGTCGGATGCCTCAGGAATCAGTTCCTCTCTCTGGGCCTGTTTCCTCACCTGGAAAATGGGCACAAAAAGGTCTCTTCCTCAAAGGACTGTGGGGAGGATTCAATGAGATGAGGCCGAGAAAAGGCTCGGCACAGGCCCTTGATAAATAGTTTGCTATTATTGTCTATTAACTTTTGAGTTAAGATCGTGGGGACGGGGCTTTTGAGGTGCTCATCCTTCCTCGTCCCCATTGGGCCCAGACCCAGTTTGAAGACGGGGTCAGGGTGGGGTCTGCTCTCAGGAAGCCTGCACCCCACATACCCAAACCTCCAAACCCCGCGGACAGGGGCAGGAACGGTGAGGTGCACCCACCAGGCATAGACCAGTCCCCGAGGCAGGGGGTGCTTCTATCCACCGCTTGCCAAGTGCGGCCAGTCCCGCACCTCCCGCCGGCCGCATCCTTCCTGATGACCTCTGGGGGCACCCTTTCCGTGACCCCCTCCTCCTCACTCACCCTTTCCGGCCAACTCTGGCTCGAACCCGGGACCCAGTCATGCCTAGGAAGGCAGCCAACACCTCTTCGCTGCTGAGATGTCACCTCCCACTGACCGCCTGAAAAGGGCACAGTCATTGGCTGCCGCCATGCCAATCACATTTACCCTTTGGTCCATTCGCTGCAATGGAGACACTCCTATTGGTCCCTGGTTCGCTTTTCGCTCAACCGCGATTGGTTGGGCCGACTTCTAAGTACTGCAGACTCAGCGACTGGCTGACATCAGGTGGGAGAAGACGCGGAAGTCAGTGACTCTCACTGACGGGCGAAAGAGTGGTTTTCCGGAGACTCGGCGTTCTCAACTGCCCACGCAGGCGGTGGGCCCTCTTCAGGTTTCCGGACGTGACACTGGTGCAAGCCCCATATCCTCATCTCGGAGATCAAGGCTGGCAGCCGCCCTTCTCTAAATCCTCCAACCCTCTGCCCTGTGAGTGCCCGTTCCATCCTGCCTTGTCTCTGCCTGGCCGACCGCACCTCGCTGGCTGAGACCCCCTCCTCGTCTACAAGAGGTTCACATCTCTTGCATCCTTGCCGGCTGAGGCCCCCTTGCTGTCAAAATAGCAGCTTGGACGTTCCAACTGATCTGAATTATCATCCCCACATGGTGAGTCGCTGCCCTTTATAAAGAAGGCTACAAGCTGGGCGTTTTACATTCATTTTTTCGTTTGATCCTGGCAGCGGTCCTCTGAGTGGCGGCTCTTTCATCCATTTCTCAGAGAGAAAAACAGACACAGAAAGTGCCAAAGGGTCTTTCTTTAACCAAATTTTAGTCCTCTGAGCCATCTTCTCCACTAGCCCTCCACCTTGGCCTAGGTTCTGTCTTTGCCAGTCCAGTTTGAGCAAAGTCTCCTAAGTCACCCCCACCACCCTTGATATCTGATCAAGTTCCTCACTCCCCACCTTTGATGCATAAGTCCTAGGCATCTCTTTGGCAAGAATACTTGTAGATCAGTTTAGCAAGAGTCCTTCTCCTCTTGATATCTCCTTTTAGTAATTTTCCATCCATAGACACCACCCCCACCCCCCAATTCCCAGCTGTCTTGCAGTACTCAGAACTGAGCCAGATCTCTCAGCCCTGTTACGATCCCCTATTGCAGTACACATGAATAAAGTCTTCCTTACCGTTTCAACAAGCGTTGGAATAATTTTTTTTTTTTTACAAAAGTCAAGTAACTTTTTCAGGTCGCTGAACAAAGGGGCAGAGCCAGGTCTCTTTCTGGAGATGGAGCTGTAACTGCTATGACCAAGGGCACATGGCTGCTCCTCTGTGAATCTGAGAAAATGTGAAGAAAGACAGATTCTTCCTCACAAGGCAGCTACGGAGATTCAGTGTGAAGTAGTAGAGAGAAACTGAGCCTGGAGCCGGAGGGTAGTGACTGCTGGGAACCTGGGGACTGGGGAATTCATCCTTAGAAGGGAATAATATGCAGTTGGGGAGAAAAAAAAATACATATAGACATCTCCAGAGTATCTATATATTTCATAAGAAAGGAGAGGAATAAAAAGTATGTATTGTGTTTGAAGGAGGTTGTCAGGTGGACGTGACCACTGGCTGACTTTCGATCTGGACCTGGACAAGTAGAGGCTGCTCACCCCTGCCCTGTCCTTGTGATGCACGCTGTACCCACAGTTCCCACGGTGCACACCGTTCCAAGGACACAGCTTCCAGAGAGTAGGTGTTGTTGAGACCATCTGGACAGTATATGTGACTAGGCCCTGGAAAGGCCTCTGTATAAGTTTTTAAGATTCTGGTGGGCAGGGGCGAAGATCTACTCATCTGGTCGCCATCCAGGACGCACCTCATATGTAAGTTCCCTTGCTTGTTAAACCTGTCACCTACCAATCTGGAGTGATCTGCGTCTTTCTTTGGTCTCTCCTTGCCCTCTGTCTGTGGGGGCCAGTCTATAAATGAGCAATTGTATTCTGTTGTGCCTGCTCAGCCCACCTATGGAAGGACTCAAGAGAAAATGGAAATATTGGTTAGCTCAGGAAGAGAAATCTTAGGGACCTTTTTGACTCCCCTATTTCTCTCACACCCATTGTTGGTTCATAAGAAAAACCAGCCTGTATCTCACATCTCCCCGTCCATTCCACACTATCCCACAGCTGGACCAATACAATTGCTTCTGTCCTGTTTCAGGGCTCCCGCCCTCACCCCTCACAGTCTGTCCTCCCTTCATTGCCCCGAGGGCACCTGTGAGCACCTGAGTCAGGCCTTGTCCCTCCTCTACTCAGAACTCTCCTTGGCTCCTACCTCACTCGAAGGAAAAGCCCAACTCCTTTCTGTGGTTCACAGGAACTGCATGACCACCCCCTCCCTGCTCTCACCTCCTCCCATTCTCTCCCTCACTCTGCTTCAGCCACAGGGGCCTCCTTGCTATTTTTCCAACATACCAGGCACTGTCTGGCCTCAGGGCCTTTGCACTGGCTGTTCCCTCTACCTGTATACACTTCCTCAGATTATTTTATGACTCTTCCCCTCGTTTTACTTAAATCTTCAAATACTACATCACTATTTTGTGCATGCTTTTCAACTTTATAAAAATATACTGTATTGTGCCCTGGCTGGTGTAGCTCAGTGTATTGAGCACGGGCTGTGAACCAAAGGGTCACTGGTTCAATTCCCAGTCAGGGCACATGACTGGGTTGCAGGCATGGTCCCCAGTGGGGGCCAAATGAGAGGCAACCATGCATTGATGTTTCTCTCTCTCTTTCTCCTTCCCTTCCCCCTCTCTAAAAATAAATAAATCTTTAAAAAATACCGTATTGTTCGTGTCCTTCTGCCTCTCGATTTTATTTACTCAATAATATATTGTCAGCCCTGGCTGGCATAGCTCAGTGGATGGGGCACCGGCTGGGAACCAAAGTGTCCCAGGTTCAATTCCCAGCCAGGGTACATGCCTGGGTTGCAGGCCATAACCCCCAGCAACCGCACATTGATGTTTCTCTCTCTCTATCTTTCTCCCTTCCCTCTCTAAAAATAAATAAATAAAATCTTAAAAACAACAACAACAAAAAGTGTATGTTAAATTTAAAAAAAATATATATTGTCGACTCAAATGCCTCTAGAATACTCCTTTTCTCTGCCTTATTATATCCCAAATGTACAAATTGAAGGATCAGATCTTTTTTTAAAGATTTTATTTATTTATTTTAGAGAGGGAAGGGAGGGAGAAAGAGAGAGAGAAACATCAATGTGTGGTTGCTGGGGGCCAGTGGCCTGCAACCCAGGCATGTCCCTGACTGGGAATCGAACCTGTGACACTTAGGTTCACAGCCCAAGCTCAATCCACTGAGCTACGCCAGCCAGGGCGAAGGATCAGATCTTAATTGTCCAGCCCAGCTGGGTAGCTTGGTTGGTTGGAACATCATCCCCATGCTCCAGGGTTGCGGGTTTGATGCTGGTCAGGGCACATACAGGAAACAACCAATGAATGCATGGGTGATGGAGCAGCGAGTCAATGTTTATCTGTCTCTGTCTCTCTCAAAATCAATAGATTAAAAAAAACAACAACTTTAAAACCTTACTTGTCCATTCTCCTGATGATGGCTTATGGTTTCCAATTTTGTGGCTGCGAGAAATGTTCTTATAAGAGAACATATGGTTGTTCTGTCTCATGGTGGCCATTACAGAATCACTTATCTTACAGGAACAGGAGGCCAGGCTCAAGGTCTGATTGTATGGGTTACAGAATGGCGAAGCCATTTAAATGCCAAATGCCAGTGGATGCTCATGCTGAAGTCTGGGCACTGAAGTGAGAAGTGGGGGTTTCCTGGGGTTTAGAATGGTAATAATGAGCCGATACAGATGAGCCTGAGAACTTTGAATCCATAAATACCCTTCTCTGGTGGAAAACTGGCCTTTCTATGTGGGATATTGTGATATAGTAAGACATGTATATTTGGTCTTTGTCCTCGATTCCTGGCACAGAGCCTCTAGAACCCTTGTTAGGACCAACCATGTGATTCCAAGGTGGGCATTTTCAGCCCCACTCCACCTCCGTATACAGGGAGGGGAGAGGGACTGGAGATTGAATTTAATCACCAATAGCCAGTAATTTAATCAATTGTGCTCACATATCTGCGCCCTCATAAAACCCCAGACAACAGGATTTAGGAAGCATCCCTGCATCCCCGATGATGGTTCTGGCCTTCCCAAACCACTTTTGATCTTCTGATTCCTCTTGGGTTGAGGCAGACCAGGTTCTCCCTGGGCACCCCAGTTTGGGGGTGGCTGTATTTTTTTTGACGACATCCCAACTCCCCATCTGTTTCCTTTCCCATGCTGCCAACTTCTAACTGCAATAGTAAGTCTTTGCTTGTGTACGAATGGAAGCTTGTGGAGATGACTGCTCCCCATGGCCCCTGGTTCCCCTCCCCTTTTCCACCTGGTCATGGCATCTCAAGGAAGCAGGACCAGTAAGAGACCTTCGATTTAAAAAATGCACAAACAGTGCTCATTTCAGCAACACGTATAATAAAATTGGATTGATACAGAGGTTAGCGTGGCCCCTGCACAAGAGTGACATGCAGATTGGTGAAGTGTTCCATAGGAAGGGAGGAAGGAAGGAAGGAAGGAAGGAAGGAAGGAAGGGAGGAAGACAGCCCTGGCCACGTAGCCTAATTGGTTAGAGCATCACCCCTATACACCAAGGTTACAGGTTTGATCCCTGATTGGTGGAATAAATGGCCTAGAGAGCTGTCTGGGCTTGAGCTACTGTCCTGTCCACTAGGAAGGGCTGGCAGTGATCTTCCAACCTCAGCTTCCTCTCTGCCACTGGTAGTGTAGCAGCAGGAAGCCGAGGGTGCCAGATTGCTTAACAATCAGGTTCCAGGGAAGGCGGGGCAGTCTCTGCTGGGCCTGGAGGCTGTACAACAGAGGACAGGGTGGGCCTGGGACCTGGCGTCTACCTCCTTAGGAGGGACTGACGGGAAATGTCTAATGAGGTGACTAATAGCAATAATGGAAATAATGCCAGTAATAATAATAAATTATAGTAGTCACTCATATTGTCCCATCCCAGATGCTGGGCCCAGGGCTGGGCGCTTAGA